ACGTGGCCGAGTTCATGTACCACAATGCCAAACTTATCACAGTTCTTTCCTATAGAAATGGCCTGAGGGCCGCCGCCTCTCCTCCCCACGTAGGAGCAACACCTGCAGGGGGTGACACCGTTTAGGTCCACATCCTGGAGCATCTAGAGAGAAAACACTGATTCTTTGCTGCTTTGGAATATAACTATACAGTGGCAGACGCAGGCTGTTTGAGGAGCACAGCTTAGTCAGGGTCAGGACTGGCACTATAGAGGGCACTTTATCATGTTTTATAGGGGCATGGTATACCATACCAGTATGTTTGCAATGTTTGATGACCTTCTTATAATGCAGTCTTTACAGTATTTAGGTTGGATGTGATTTTCCTAATGTTCCAGGCAACCATTGCCTACGAAAGCTCAGCACACTGAGATGAAGATGAATGAAGATTCATTGTGATTAATCACACAACTCAAACACACTCATAGAGTCTGCTAGTTGACTTTCACATGACATGAAAATGAATGGAAATGACTGGATCCCTTGAACAGTAAATTCCAATGTTTCTAAAAAAACAACAGTATGCTTGGCTGAGGGCAATCTGACCTCTTTTCATGTGTCCTCATAGGCTGAGGCATTATCTACATGGAAATCTGTTAATTAATCAATAATGGTAATTAAAAATGGTTAATGAGTACTCAACTCACCCACAAGGTCGGTAGGTGAAAACAATGTAGCTTTCTTCAGTCGTCCTCTCAGTGAATGTTACACAAGTGTGTTTCTCCCAGTGACGCATTGCCTGACGGAAAATGGCTCGCTGGCTGCCTGAAAGGAATTAAAGTTTGACAGCTTCAGTATGTCCAAACCACACGTGGCAAGGAGCACATTCTGGCTGTTTAAAGAAAACAACTCCCCTGTAAGAACAGATGAAAGACTTATTGTTTTAATTCAGAACTCACCACTGAAGTTCCCACTGATCACATACGGGATGATGCCATCCGGCCACACTCGCTCAGGCCTGGAGGTGGCTGCTCTCCTCCGACGATGGAGACTCTGTCTGTCTGCAGCTCTCCTACTCCAGACATTCTCATTTGAAGTGGAGCTGTTAACTGTAACAAGTAAATCTACACTGATTCTCACCCTTTTATCTAAACTTACTAAAGTCTATCAGAATTATTGATTGATTAGTAGATTTATTTCGACTTTGATACCTGAGTCAGTGTGGTTGGTCTGGACAGTGTGCTGTGCACCAACACTGCTGTGGGCGTCCCTGAACATGCGGAGGTCATCTTCATCAAGGGCAATATCACCCCAAAAGGCAGCTGGGGAAAAACAGATGAACACACAGATAAACAACACATCTGAAACAACACATCAAGCTGAAATTATGTTAAAATAAGAAAAATAAATAGAAAACTCTAGTATATGCTATTATGTTCTGCTATGGACACATCTATACATACAGTATTAGTATAAGTAACCTGAGGGTCTTTCTTCTCATCTGACTGTGTATTTGTACAACTTTATAATATTGAATTTCAAATAAAATAAAAAGAAAACATGAATGTCATCATCAAAACTTCTGTTCCATATTGTAACCTGGAACCTGGACATGGATGCAAAATTAGCTCACTAGCTCACACTCACTAGCTAAATATATGCAGTAGTATTTTGTTGTTTGATTAGTGGGAGGATTAAATGGGTCCGTACAGACAGAACAAGTTTTAATAGATCTTTTTAAAAACTTTATCTTTGAATTTTGGTCAATTTTCAACAGAAGCCAAAAACTAAATGCACGTTTTACTCTATTGTAAATGCATATCTCTGTCCTGAAAAGGGGCCTGAACAGGACTCTATATGGCAGTAAACACACCTCCCAAATACAGTCTGCACTGCACACAACAGCACACAAACTGAAGCATATTGGAGGGCTGTCCAACTACTGTGTAATTTTAAAGAAATAATATGTGAACTGAATTCTTTATAGGACTGTGATTTCTCTGTGCTGGACTTTGCAGTGTTACTAAACAGCTACTCAACCTGCAGTACAAACCTTTTTGTACAGGAGCTTCGTATTAATGGCTTAGATGATATCTGCATAGTTGTGCTTGTCGCCGTGGTCAATAAGAGGACATGTTCCTAAAGTGCTAAGAGTTTCTTTTGCATATTTGCTGCAGCAACCTGCTTTTAAATGTTCAGCAACTGATTAACCAAGGAGTGAAGTCCTCTATATCAGAGAAAAGACATTTACGTGCCTCATAAAGTGATGTAATCATCATGTATGTAATGCAATATACATTATTTCTCTACTTCTTGTTATTAGTGGAAACTTGTTTTCTAAAATGAGGGATTACTGTATGATTGCTTTGTGTGTGTAGGTCCCAAACATCATTCTCATCGTTTTTCTTCATTAACAATATAATAATGTATGCCATGTAGAGATGATTTTGTCCATAAACTGACTGAACACAAACAATCCCAGTCACTTAGACTGTGATGGATGACACAGGATATGTTTTTTATCAGTAATCATTCAATCATTCATTGGTTAATTAATAATTATAATTAATTAACCAATGCTTTGCTGTGTTACTCTTCCAAATAAAAATATGCATTACTGTCAGTGGTGGAAAGTAAGAACATTTAATCACTTAAGGTAGGTTTTGAAGTACTTGCACTGTACTTTGTACTGTATTTAAATGTTTTACTACTACTAAACATTGTATTTTCTTACTACAGTACATGTATCTGACATCAATACTTAGTTTACAACCATTTACAACATTAAAATGCTGCTTACATGCTAGTAAATAATGATATATGTCACAATATAACAAATGAAAGCAAAATTACACAAATTATTAAATAATTATAATTATGTTCAGTGTAATAAATTGTTCCATTACATCAGACAAAACTCTCACACACAAATCATAAATCAGATATACAAATATGTTTGTATTTTTAATGTGAAAAAGCGTTGTTCTGCGATCTGAATACTTCTTACACCACTGATTACTACAGGATTTTAATGTGTTCTTAGAGTCAGCAGTGTAGCTCAGAAACTGGAAGAGTTGCAACTTAATAGTTTGGCTAAATATGGCTGAAAAAGGTAGTTCCTTTCAGATAATTCAACGTTAGCAGCTGAAGAAGAAAAGAAGGGCAATCATCAGCAATCACAAGAAATCAAACATGCAGGAATGATTGTAACAGAAAATTGGACTCAAGTTGGGTTGTTGGCTTTAACAAGTGTGTGAGTGGGAAAAACCCTCAACTTGTCTTGAAATACAAAGTTCATGTCAAGTTTATTGTCTGCTTGAATGACACCCAGGCTTCATCCTGATGCCCAAATCAGGATTTTCTGGCTCCAGTAAGAAAACACTGAATGGTCACCACAATCCAGGCTCCACAACGTCCTTTATGAAAGTTACTGGTGACATCACACACACACATTTGGTCCATATTTTCCTCCGCTATGGGAATAACGTTTTGTTTTCATTATTACGACCATACCTCCTGTATAAATCAACTAGTCAAGCAGAACGGCTCCCATTAAATAGCTCATTTATCCCATGTGATGTAACAACCTTTGAAAGTCCAAATGAAAAGACATAGCGGGCCCTGTGTCAGCCTTTGAAGTGAATTCACTCATGCAAAGGGTGACTGTAAATGACTGTCACCCCTGCAGTGTGCACCCCATGCCCTGAAGCCAGAGGGATTTCACCGGCGTCCAGCTGAGGACTGTGCTGGCACGGCCTCAATGACCTCTAGTCTCCAAGCAACTGCCTCGGAGAAGAAGAGTGGTGTGTTTTGGAAGTTTCAAAAGTCACAAGTGAAAAAGGGACCCCGACCAACTGGAGGCCCTCTAGTAACCAAATTACTTGTTTGGCATGTTAGATAACAAGATTTGTTTTGTATATTCTTTCACACAAATCAGAGACACTCTGACAGCTTCGAGCCAATTCATTCAGACTGACATTTAACTCATAATGCAGGATAGAAATATCATCTTGTGCTTCTGTTATCAATACGGTGTGATTTATTGAATGTTTGTTTATCAAAGTAGATTATTTTTTAGACAAACGTGTGATATACTTGCCTATTTAAGGTTCACACTTGTACTTTGTACTTTGTATCACTACATTTCAGAGACAAATATAGTATGTTTTGCTTTGAAGATCAATATTTGACATACAAAGCATACAGTATTACCAGCTCATAAAAATATAATGTTCCCGTTGGTGAAACTACTCAATAGTTAAATAATAATTTCCACCTCAACTAACAGTTGAATGCACTAATATTGTGTAATAGTAATTGTTAATAAAGTATAGAGTATTTTTATAGTGTTGTATTGCCACTTTTTGCTGCCTAAAGTTTAAACATTATCTGAGAGCTGCTGAATAAAGGTGATTTGTCCCAACAATCCCTATATACTGAACTCGTAAAAGGTTTACAGTAAAATGTCTGGTTGGCTGTGTTCAGTGGTGGAAAGTTAATTTACTTAAGTACAGTTCTGAGCCACTTGTGTTTTAATATTTGTATTTTATGTTATAATGCAAAAATACACCAGTACAGCTTTAATAGTTACTTTAACATGATGTATGAAATGTGATTCATTTCTTACTATTGATGCTTCAAGTATATTTAGCCGGTTATAGCTTTGTTAGTAAAACTATGACTTCAGCACTTGTATTTGTATTTGTATAGTGTTTTATTGCTACTTTTACTTAAGTAAAAGGTCTCAATACACCACTTTATGTTTTTTTTTAATTGTTACTTAACTTATTCATTAATTAACAATAAGACAGAAATATGAAGGTTATTTTTTTGCATGTAAATATTTGTATTAACCTACATTTAATCCTAAATTGCCCTTCACTTCTACGTCATTATGAGCTCTATTTAACTTAACCTATAAACTCACAGTGATCAGGGCCTATGGGACTGTGGATATCGGCCAAATACACATTATATATAAACCAACAGGAAATCAGTAGGTCAATAAATGCACTGTACCAGCTTTACAGGGATCCTTGTAGTCGATTGCATCATCGAGGTAGGTAAAATTAGTGTCCACAAACTCCTTCTCAGCCGCCAGAGAAACGCGCAGACAGACGCACAGCAGGACCAAAAATGTAGGAGCGACTTCCATTACTTCGGATCAAATATCTAAAAGAGGTAAAGTTCATGTGCCTCGGTAATTGTAGGGAGAAAAAGAAAAGAAAAAAAAAAAAGTTGGTCGACAGCGGCAGTGTGATTTTATAAAACACAGCGCTGTTTTCTCACGTCTCCATTCTGCTGCAGTGATTCGCTGACATACAGGAGCGAGAGCAGAGCTCACACAGTTCACAGCAAAACACACATCAGTGCATCTGCAGCCAGAGAGGTGCTTCACCTGCAGCACCAGAGCTGCTACACATCTACATACGATGAGTTAGGTTTAGTCTGCATCATCAGCCGTCCATCAGTATCACTTATAGGCTACAAAGTGAATCATTTTTTAACAATAGTGTCGAAATGACTTGATTTGATTGATTTCAGCAAATCGTTTACATGATCAGACTCTTACTCTGATATCTCAGGCTCTTTACTCAGTTTCTCTGTGTTGTTTCGTGACCTGACACACCACCTGCAGGTCGTCCACCACACACACACACACACACACACACGCACACAAAGAGAGGAAAGCTTTTCCACTTACTTTGAGTGTGATGCGTTTAATGTCCAGCTGCCCCTCCAAGCTCATCCATGGGTGCCCCTTTTTAAAAACCTAAATGTAAACTGATTGCATTTAGTTTTTCATACTGAAGTTTAGCAAAGCCTCACGTTTTAGATAATCCCTGTTTTCTGCTCTTCATCTGAGCTGCTTTTACTGCTGCTCAGTTTCCCTGCAGTGATGGCATGAGAAGATTCATTCTCTTCTGTGAACTGCTTTTTATGCTGGCACACACAGAAAGGACTACTGCCATGATTTTTTTTTTCCCCCTTTGGGTGAGAGGCACAGTCTCTTCAGTTTAGTTGGTTCGGTGTTAAAGGGTGTTTGTACTGCAGCAGCCCTTGTTGCTTTGAGATTCAACAACATTTTAAATGAGTCTGATGCAACATTCAGGTCTTAAAAAGGCCTGTCACAAGTTAGCTGCATTTTAAAGGTCCAGTGTTCAACATTTATGAGGATTTATTGGCAGAAATTGAATATAATATTCATTGGTATGTTTTCATTAGTGTATAATCACCTGCATATCAGAATCATTGTGTTTTCGTCATCAGTTTTTATCTACAGA